ATCTAATCCTCTTTAAATCCTCAACACAGGATATCAAATCCAAAACTGCTTTTAAAGCGTAGTTTCTGCTTTAATCTTTTCAAAAACAGATTCAAACTTCAGAATCACAAAATATTTCCTTTAAAACTAAACAAAATAGTTTTACCAAATTCTTTTAAGTTTCAAACCATACTCAAAAGCTTACAAAATCAACAGTAGATATAAACTCACAGTTTGTAAACAGATCGTAGTTCAAAAACTCACAATTTATATCAAAACAGTAGTTAAACTCACGGTTATATCAAAACAATAGTTAAATTCACGGTTATATCAAAACAGTAGTTAAACTCACGGTTATCTATACTACTTTATTAAGTATTTTCATCAAAAGTCTTAAAGTCTTAAATTTATAAATACCCAAAATACCCCTTTACCTTTACGTACAAGATTAGAAAGCCTAAAGTACAACTCAAAGATTCAAATTATCACTGCTGTGTTGATTTAGGTTCCAGACACTTTCAAGCACGCTCATCATTCCCGATTCAAGCACGCTCACACACTCGATTGCAGGTTTCCAAGACGCCGATTGAGGCTCCAAGACTCCGATTGAGGCCTCCAAGACGACGATTGAAGCCTCCAACACGCTCGATTGCAAGGTCTTAGTTCTGGCTCCTTTCGATTCATACCTCCACCTCCCGATTCTTCTTCAATTCACTGCCGTAATCCGATATTGATTAGGTCTTTTTGTGGGTTTGATAAGTTCAGACCCGTCTCTCCAAATTATTCAACTGTTCGTAATCGATTTCCGATAGTTACAGGTATGACCTTGACCTTTTTATTGTGAATTTGAGTTCGGATTTTTTGTTCTTCAAGGAATTGTGGGTTTGATTCCGTATACATGTGGGTTGCTTTTCTTTTGATTAATTAATGAAGTTACGATTTTGGATTTATTCTGAATGTTATCTTTCATTCTTTTGGATTCAGATCTAGGGTTTGAGATTGTAAATTGTAAGAAATTCTACATTCAGAAGTATTTAACCATTGCAAACTGCTTCTTTTCATAGTTTTCAACTCTCATAATCAGATTACCAACATTCAAACTTTCCATACAATCTTGGTTCAACCCATCTAAAAGACAATCTGATCGTAAATGCAATGTAAGCTATTAGAACTTATTTGGCTTGATACACATTTACGATATACAAAGCTAAGGAATTATGCTTATGATCTGGTTGCATGAATGTTGTTGTTTTTGCCATTGTATTTTTCTAAGTTATTGTTTCTCTTATACAATATTTGGTTTATATATGTAATCAAGTTTTGTATTGTTTGTTTGTTGTGGTGGCAGGCAAGGACAAATCAGTTGTTTTGTGGAGTATTCATGATCATATCTCTACATTGGCAACAGAACCAGGGCTAACGAAGTCTCCAGGAGCTAGTGGTGGTAAGAACCTGAAGACTGGTGGGGATGACGATAAACGTACTGAGAGCCCTGTTATTCAAGCAAGAGGGGTCTTCCAAGGGCATGACGATACCGTTGAAGATGTACATTTCAGTCCCTCTAGGTRTCTGACACCTGTCYTATGCTGTGAAACATAACCCKTCTTTTCAATTGGTATSATAGATCTAATTAGCTAATTGGAACCTTTTTGAATTCTGTTTTGGTGAAGCGCACAAGAATTCTGTAGTGTTGGTGATGATTCCTGTCTTATCCTATGGGATGCAAGAATTGGCTCTTCTCCTGCTGTCAAGGTAACTTAGACATCTGCTTTACCTTATTCGACAAAATGGTGCTTATTTAAGGAGTTGAGGGCTTTATGCTTTAGTATTGGCTGATAACCAGTGAATCAAGTCTTCATCTCATCCTTAATTGTTGAGACTTCTCCCACAAATAGTATTTGCCTATGCGCCATTTTCAGTTGTCCGCCCTCTATGTTTTGCAAATATTTTTGCTTTTCTATACTACTTTATTAAGCATTTTCACCCAAAGTCTTAAAGTCTTAAATTTATAAATACCCAAAATACCCCTTTACCTTTACGTACAAGATTAGAAAGCCTAAATTACAACTCAAAGATTCAAATTATCACTGCTGTGTTGATTTAGGTTCCCAGACACTTTCAAGCACGCTCATCATTCCCGATTCAAGCACGCTCACATGCTCGATTGCCCTCTATGTTTTGCAAATATTTTTTCTTTGTATAAATGTAGAAATCTAATTTCAATTCTTTGTGGTTCTTTTGCAGGTTGAGAAAGCACACAATGCTGATCTTCACTGTGTTGATTGGAATTCACTTGATGAAAATCTCATATTGACAGGGTAATAAGCAGACATGCTTTCTTCTCCCATATTATGTGCTCATTAGGAACTAATACACATCAATGAAAAATTCTTAAATAAAACTATCTTTTTTTATTTTATAATTGAGCTTCAAAGATTTTAGATTTTGGCATTTTTGGCATCCATTTCACTATTCTTTTTGTGTTTGGTACGCTGGACAAGACAAAATAGGACATAACAAAAACTTATTTGTCCACGTGTGGCATGACATTAGACTGGGAGTCTGGGACAGTACATGACACATGTGGGATCAAAATGCACTTTTTCTGCCCCATGCCACCAAAATAGGTGGAACAAAAATCAATGAGATGGGACAAAAATAATAATAGTGTATAAACCATGACGGTAGATTACACATAAATAATAAAGCAAAGAGTGTATAATAGTGTACATGGAACATAAAGCAGTTACTGAGCTTCAGTAAATCATTTTTTTTAGGTCAGCTGATAACACTGTTCGCTTGTTTGATCGTCGGAATCTCACTGCCAATGGGGTTGGATCACCAATCCACATATTTGAGAATCATAGTGCTGCTGTCCTTTGTGTACAGGTATATCATTTTTGTGGCTGTTGATGTTTTTTTATTTCTGGATTATTCTAAAATATTTACAAAATTATATATGTTTCAATGGTCCCCGGACAAATCGTCTGTCTTTGGCAGTTCGGCAGAGGATGGAGTCTTGAACATCTGGGATCATAACAAGGTGTGAAACTTATCTTTCATTGTGCACTTCTTTTGTATATTCCCTCCATCACAATGAAAATGGTTACTTTTTAGTTAACTTATCTTTCATTCATACGAAGTGAATGGTATTCGTGTATGATTGTAGGGACAAGGTGGTTGATTTTCACTGGAATGCACATGATCCATGGACAATTGTTAGCATATCTGACGATGATGAAAGTACTGGTGGGGGCGGGACCTTACAGGTGAGCTTTCCCACTTTACATGGTTACTTTGAGGCCCCCTGAAGATGCACCAGGCCCAGACCCTCCAAGCCTGTTTTTAGTAAGCAAAAAACAAGCTCGGGAATTTTTAGTCCCGATCGGGCTTCTTCATGCCTGGCTTATTTGGGATTTTGATTTATTTTGGCTTGGTTGGGCATTTTGGTCTAGGCTGTGGAGTGTGTGGGCTTTTAGGGCCCGGGCTTCAAGCTTCGGGCTTTTTGTGCATCTCTACTCCCGATTAAGATTACCATTTGTACTTCTAGACCTAAACTGGTATGAATTTGTGCAGATATGGCGGATGATCGATTTAATTTATCATCCACAGCAGGAGGTAATTACGGAGCTCGATAAATTCAGATCTCATATCCTCACTTGCTCATCGCCGTAGAATAGAACTTTTAGGATTTATTCAGATTATAATGATCTTGTGGATTGTTGTTAATATCTTGAATTTATTGTACCGTTTAGAATTCATGGTGGGATTTGCAGGAAGCTAATATGCATTACATCGTTGTGGAAACTCCATCCCCTTATCTGCTTGGTCAATTCAACGATGACTGGGATTGGCAAATTGTTATTTATCATATCGGACGTTTTTTTGGAACTCTTGTACCCCAAATTGTAACACGTGTGGTTGGATGACTGATCCAATTGATGATTGGATCGGTTAGGTTCAATTCATTGAATATTTTTATTGGATATTCATCGGATATGCAATGGATGATCCGATGGGACTGGATCCATCCGGTGTGTTATTTCAAATCCAATTCTCCGACAATGATGTAAATTAATTAATCACTTTTGATATGTGTTAAAGCCAACAACAGAGACGTTAAAAATTCAAAACCTCACACAACATTTTATGATTTAAGCAATTTATAAACAAATTAATTGGATGATGGTTGGAAAGATAACTGTTCATCGGAAGATTAATTGGATGTTAGTCGGTTCAGTTCGGTTTTCATAAGTTCTGGACTGCCATCCGATAACTGATCGATCTAAATTGGATGTTGAAATTTTCAATCCGGTCCGATCAAATTACATTGCAACTATAATTAATAAGTAAATTGTAAGAAATTATCACTTGTTTATCTTAGTTCAACCCATCTTGCTTTTCGGCTAGGATCTAGGGATTAACCTTGGTTCAACCCATCTAAAAGACAATCTGTGGAAGCTTTTGTTGTTTGAATATTGTCATGTTTTCTTTACTAACATCATATGTTTAGACATTYTTATGTATTAAAAATCAAATCATTTGATCTAGAGACCATTGTGAGGRTAGTAGAAAAAGGAAAGATAGAAGTCAATCCAAACTAAAGGAAGWCAATTTGCTAATAAATAAGTTTTGGAACAATAACCCCAGTCTAGAGTGGGATGATGGTGATAAATGWATTTGATGCTTTGCCTTTTGCCTGGTGTTTATATATTGGATATGGCTGAAAACTAAGACTTCCATGCCATGTGTAATAACTTTGAAATGATTCATCATCATAACAGGTACTTTGTTTCATTGACAATCTGCTCCTCTGTCATTGGCTACTACGACTGATTTGTACCCTCTTGTCACCGAATCAAGTCTTTCTGTGCGATTGTCTCCATCTCTTGGTCTTGAATCCTTTTTGTACCCTCTTGGTCTTGAATCCTTTTTGTGATTATGGTATGTCCTCTCTCTCTTTCCCAAATTTTTCTTTGTCAAATGACCTTCAAGGGTCTCTACTTCCGTAATATCAATTTTTTGTTCATGGTAGCACCTTTCATGTACGTTTGTCGTTTTAAAAATGCTTTTAAACTCTTATACTTAKGCTTTACTTGTTGCCTTTTAATTTGAATATTTAAAATGAGAACTTTAAGTAGAATTGTTTACTGGGAAAGGTTGAAAGGTCACTCATAATCTTTACTGTGTAATTATTGCAGGCTACGAATGAGAATCTTCCTCCAAATGTAATCAAGCTACTTGCTAGGGAATTGAAGAATCTCGATGAAACACCACCAGAAGGAATTAAAGTAGGAGTGAATGATGATGATTTTTACCTGTCTTGTCCTATGTAATCTGCATACCAAACGCACCCTTAATTAACTTTTTTACATCCCGCCGCATTGCGCGGGTAGACAACTAGTATCAAAACAGTAGTTAAACTCATGGTTATATCAAAACAGTAGTTAAACTCACGTTTATATCAAAACAGTAGTTAAACTCACGGTTATATCAAAACAGTAGTTAATCTCATGGTTATATCAAAACAATAGTTAAACTCACGGTTATATCAAAACAGTAGTTAAACTCACCTTGTTACAACAGATTCTGTAGTAAAAGATCATACAGCAAACACAAATTCTTTAAAACGCTGGTTTTTTTCTCAAGAACACCTTCACCGTCTTCAACTTTTCTTTCTAAAAAATATCTCTTCTTTCAAAACAAGGAATGATAAGATAAGATTATCTTGTCTTATCTTTCTATTTATACTCCTTTCTAAGATATCATTACTTTACTTCATCACTAAGATACCATTACTTTACTTCATCTCTAAGATACCATTACTTTACTTCATCACTAAGATACCATTACTGTTGGACCTGTAAATTCAGCTTTGATATTGATCTATTACTCTGAATGAACTTTAGGACGATTAAAGTGCAGCGGAAACAATATTAAGAATGAAACAGAGTAAAATATACCAAGAACACACAGTTAAGATGAAGAAGAAGATGAACACAGAAGAATAGCTTCAAAGGTTTTTCAATTCATTCAATTGAAAATAAGACGATTACAATTCGGAAGCACACTAAATACAAAGGCCTAAGCTGCTATTTATACTAGACCCTAACGACCTTAGTGACATGATCTAGAAAGTGAAATCATCTAAGCCGTGCAAATAAAGTCTATTAAAATCTAGTCACGTGAGAAGCACTTGCAGCTAACAACCTTTGAAAAACAGTAGAACAGGATCTTCACAGAAGACTAATCCGCAGACCCTCTG